AAACTGGAATGTTCCTGATCAGTGTTTGGATTCTTTTCTCAAATGATGTTGGATACGACTCCTACAAAAGACAATTTTCCTAAAAGTTATTATGACGCGAAGAGGTTAGTTATGAAGTTGGTTTTTGAAGTAAGGAAGATTGATTGTTGCATTAGAGGTTGCATGTTGTTCTATGACAATGAGTTTGGTACAAACGATGGAGCGTTAGAGGAATGTAAGTTTTGTAACAGTCCAAGGTATGTAGTTCGCACTAAAGCCATTGATCGTAATAAAAAACGCATAACAGTGAAATCAATGTTTTATCTTTCGATAATACCAAGGTTGTAAAGATTGTTTGCTTCAATGCACGGTACAAGTCAAATGACATGGCATCATACAAATAAAGCAAGTCCATGCACTATGTGACATCCATCTGATGGCGAGGCATGAAAGCACTTTGATCGGATGCATCCTGATTTTGCAACAGAACCTAGAAATGTCAGACTCAGATTGTGCTCTGATGGTTTTACTTCATATGTCAAACAGTCGGGAACTGGATATTCTTGTTGGTCAATTATTGTTACCCCTTACAACCTTCCCCATGAGATGTGCATGACAAAGCCTTACATGTTTTTGACTTGCCTCATTCCAGGGTCGTCCAGTCCAAAAGCATGAATTGATGTTTATTTTTAACCTTTAATTGATGATTTAAAGAGGTTGTGGATTGGAGTATGTACTTATGACATATTTCGTAAACAAAACTTTAACATGTGAGCTGCTTTGATATGGACTATTAAAGACTTTCCTGCATATGCCATGTTGTCTGATTGGGGTACACATGGTAAAATGGGACATCCTCATTGCATGGGTGAGACGAAGGCGTTTACATTGGATAAAGGTGGAAAAAGTTCGTAGTTTGACTATCATCGTAGATTCCTACCACAAAACCATGGACTTAGAAAAACAAGAATGGTTTCAAAAAAGGTGTAAAAGTAACAGATTCGCCTCCCCCATCCCCCGTTTGTCATCAGTTAAAGTATGGAACATGGTTCATGATCTACCAAAATTCACAGACAATGGAAAAGCGATATGAATTCCAGGATACAGGGACAACCATAATTGGACTAATAGGAGTATTTTTTAGGACCTCCCATATTAGAAAGATTATTTATTGTGACATAATCTTGATGTTATGCATATAAAGAAGATTTTTTCGATAATGTATTTAACATAGTGATGCATGTCCAAGGCAAGACAAAAGATAATGAGAATGCTAGAAAGGGCATGGAACTGTTGTGTAATCGAAAAGATTTAGATTTGAAGACTCTACTGAATGGGAAACTATTAAAACCCAAATCTATTTATAGTCTAACTCCCCAAGAAGCCAAGCTTATTTGTCGATGGTTAACTGAATTAAGAATGCCCGATGGTTATGCTTCTAACTTAGCAAGGTGTGCTAACGCCAACACTGGGAAGTTGAATGGAATGAAAAGTCATGAATGCCATGTTTTCTTGGAACAATTGTTTCTAATTGCCTTCAGTTCATTTTCAACACAAGTACTTAATCCACTAACTGAAATTAGTCAATTTTTTAGATATATTTGTGCATCAACTTTAAGAGTGGATGATCTCATTAAGTTGGACCAAGACATTCCTCTCATTCTATGCAAGTTAGAACAAATTTTTCCACCTGGTTTTTTCGATTCAATGGAACATCTTCATATGCATCTTGCATATGAAGCTTTGCTTGGTGGACCTGTTCAATATAGGTGGATGTATCCTTTTAAAGACTCATGGGTGATTCAAAGAGATCGGTGAAAAATAAGGCTAAAGTTGAGGGTTCAATATGTGCATATTATTTGCATCGAGAAACTTCACATTTTTGCTCTCATTATTTCAATTACATTATGTTTATTAAAAGAATCATAAGGAATGAAGTTAATGTTACAGAAAGAAGTCAATTCACCTTATCAATCTTCGGTCTTCCTGGTCGGAGTTCTGGAAAGATGGATGTGCACTGGCTGACTGAAAAGGAATTGCAATCTGCTCATGTCCATGTGTTGATTAATTGCGTTGAAGTTAAACCATATATTGAGTAAGTATACCAAGTGAATATTTATTTTGAACACATTGGGTATAAACTTCTTACCTTCTAACTTACTTTTAATGTGTTTCGATATAAGTTATATAATAACTTTCATTATGAACTCAACGGTGAACAAGCAACAACCACTGACATACATGTTTATTTTTTTATCATGGTTCAAGTAACAATTGGCATGTAATGTTGAATCGCTTCCACAATTATTCCATTTGAGAAACTTGTATGAAGGCCCTATTAAACGTGTGAACAAATGACACACATTTCACCCTGTATGTTTCTGCCACTTTCTACTCCTCTCTGCTCTGAACCATCTGCTACTCAATTGCTCTGATATGTATTGAAATCTGGGAAAAGAGTTGTGGGGTGCTTTTCACCTGGCAGCGTTGTTGGGTGCTTTTCTCCTTGCAAAGTTGTGGGGTGCATTTCCTCTTGCAAAAAGTTACGACTAACGTTTTTGTGGGGTATCTTGTACACCCCATAAAAATGACGTTGTAGGGTGATATTTTCGTTTGTGGGGTGCTACTCACCTGACAAATTAGAGTTTTTTTGTAGTGAATTAAGCATCTTTAGTGCTAAACAATACATCAACATCATTTGCATCATTCACTACTAATATGTTTCAAATTTTGATTTAGATCAATTTCAAGAAGAAAGTAGAAGAGGATACAAAATCTAAAGTAAGTTTCCAAAAGAAAGTAGAAGCGGATACAAAATCTAAAGTTTTCTTCCTTGTTTCGGCATTCAATAAAAACTTCATGATTCGTTGCTCTAGGTAGATTGTTGAAGATTTCCTGTGATTCTAAAACAGTTTCAACATAAATAATTGAATAAAAACTTAAGAAAAAAATATTAAGAGAGATTACTGAAATCATGTTCGAACAGATCTAGGACAAGATTGATTGTTTCGTCTTTTTTGGAGTTTTCAAAGCTAAAAACAGAGAGAAGAGAGAATTAAAAGACTAAAAAGAGAAACATCAGGAGAAGCAATGACTAACAGAATGAGAGAGATGCCACTAGGGTTTCAGACAAAAGGGAAAGGAGAAATAATAAAACGAGAGAGACGTTGTGGATATTTGTGGTTTTTCTTTTGCAAAGGATTTTAATTAAAACTAAAGAGTAAATTAATTACGTGTCGGTGGATATATTTATATTTATGGAAAAAATTTGGATATATTGTTATACTAGTTTTTTTTTTTATAAATATTTTTTAAATAAAAAAAATCACTTTTATTATATTAACGGTGTTTGGTTAAGAATTTTGTTAAATAATTAAAAAAGTTTAGATATTTATATAACTTCATCTAATTAAATCAAGTTCCCCTATCACTTCTTTAGATTAGTTTCAAAAATATCTCAATAAAGATATGTTTGGCGTGATTTTATTTGAATTTTTTTTATAAATAAAATGGATATAACAGTAAATGAGATTAATATTTATATATTAACTATCTAATTTTTTATATATTTGTTTTTAATCAATCTATGATAAAAATTTTAGATGTATTTTAAAAATATTTAATAAATACTTTTGACGTAATTTGTAATTGAATGCACTTTAAATAATTTATTTATAACTAGTGCATAGAAATTAATCTCATATTATGAAATACTTAAATCATTAATTTATATAATTATTTAAACTATTTTTATAAAAATGTTAATTATTATAATACATGGTTTTGTATGTTAAAAGGAAGATTGCTTTGATGTAACACTTAAACAATGTAGCTTTTTTGTTAAAATTTATAGAGCTGTCAAAATTGTTCCCACAAGCATAGGGGATATTTATTAAACTGAGTTTTTAGGGAACACTTATACATTGTTGCAAAAATATTATTGGCATCATGCATTAAATGTTGCCAGAAATAATTTTAGGCAACAATTCTTACATGTCGTATTAATGTTGTAGTGTCCCCTCCCATGATGTCTCTCATTTCTCTCTTCTCTCTCATCCTCTCAATTCATATTTATGTTTATGAAGATATTGTTGTAAAATTTCCCTTATTTTCTATAAAGAGTACTCTCATTTGTATATATAAAATATTAAATTATTTGTCATTTTATATCATCAATAAAATAGAAATATAAATAATTTAAACCCCAAGAACTCTCGTAATGACCAACATTATAACTCAAGAACTCCAACCAGAATCACTAAATTAATGGATTATGAAAAGAAACAAATTACAATCATAGGAAAGATGAAACATCTTAGTACTTATTTGTACGGATACAATGTTATTAGATGAAAAACCAAATCAACAAAAGTACCATTAATAATGCAAAACAATATTGAAATCGCACAACCAAGTACAAATCAAATTCAAGGTTTATTTGCTTCAACATTTTGGTGACCACCAATGAAACCACCAACTCCACCAATAACACCCCCTACAATTCCTCCTACACCTCCTCCAATTCCTTTGTAAGCATAACCTCCAATTCCACCTACAATACCCTTAGATATTCCACCTCCATAACCACTACCTACACCTCCTCCATATCCACCCCCTAAACCACTACCATCACCTCCCCCATATCCACCACCTAAACCACTACCACCTCCATATCCACCCCCTAAACCACTACCTGCACCTCCTCCATAACCACCACCTGAACCACCGCCGATTCCTCCTCCTCCAAATCCTCCACCGCCTCCTTCACCACCGCCGTACCCTTTAGAAGGAACATCAAATAACCATTCTGGATTTTTCACATCTTCTTTGTCCTTCTTCAATTTCCTTCCATCTACACACATTCCCAACACTAAACACACCCCAACAACAACCAACAAAGTAAACTTCCTCTCCATAACAAGAATCTACTCAAACACACTTCACTTACACCACTTTATGCAATATGCACCATATATGCATGCATTTATATAGCTCTTGCGTGCACGAGAAAATAAACACACCTAATACCTAAAAATTCAAAATGCAAAAAAAAAAAGGTTGAAATATTTAATGTCCATTTGAAGGAGTTAGGTTTAATTGCCACCACATGCACCACACAATTTACCTTCTCTTATCATAATAGTCCAGCTCTATCACATGTATAGTAATGTGAATTTCATTCGTATTCATATCTACTACGTACGCTGCAATCCCAAAGAGGTGGAAGATGGTGATAGGGTTTATGAACAGGGACCATGAAATATATAGGAGTGCTGTGTGGCTAGAGTGTTGCGTCACATAATTTATTCAACCGTTGTACACTTGACTTTGATATTAAAGAGGGGTGTTTGTATTACGGAATCAAAATTTATTTTCAAGAATTAATTACTCACAAAAATAAAGATAGATAAGTTATTTTAAGAAATTTTTTTGAAAAGGTGTTTAGCAAATATTTTGATATTCTTAAGAAAATTATTATTTTAATTAATTTTTAAAAAATAATTTATAAAATTTCATTAAAATCTACATTATCATCCTTTTATATGAGAATAATTTTATCAGAATATGAGAAGATATGAGTGTTTTTTTTCTTTTCTGAAATCTTTATTTTTAGAAATAGTTATTTTCAATCTTGTAATAAATATGGATATACTCATTTCTTATTCATGTATTTTCAAAAATCTAAGACCCTTCAAAATTAACAGGAAAAATATATTTTTACCGAGTTTAATCAATTGTTATTTTTATATTACAGATTCTAATTAACCACAATTAAGTTTTCTCACATATGTTTCTTTAATAGTTACTTGCTTTTAGATTGTGGGAGAGAGTGGAAAAGATGTGGGACCAGGTGGTTACTAGGTAAATACATACTTTTTTTATTGGAGGAGAAAGAAATTTGTTTAGTGGTGGTCGTGTTGTTTTGTTGCATTCGGTTCTTTCAGCGTTATGAGTTACCCTATTAATGTCCAAAACTCCATTAAGTATTATTTTTTGAATCACCGTGAAGTTAAACGAGTATTATATTGTTGGAAAATATAGTGTGAGAACATGGAGTGTTGATCAGTAACATGAATCAATAAATATGATAGGAATCATCTTATAGCATTCGATTCTCCTTTATGAAATATCGATCAATATCAATATATTTACTTCTATCATGTTAAATTGGGTTATGAGTTATACTAATAGCAGTTTTACTGTCAATGTATAATTTCAATAGAAGTTCAATTTTTATCTTAAATTCTTCTAAGAGTCTATGGATCTATAATCTTTCAAGTCATAGCTCTAAATTCGACTTCTGCACTACTTCTTGCTAGAACTCCTTATTTCTTACTTCTCCATGTTATACGATTACCCCAAACATAGGTATAATATTCAAAGGTTCATCCTTTACCTGCAATGGGTGAAAAAGAGCCATCTGCGGTTTTTATTTTTTTATTACCTACACGTGGGCTATATAAAGAGAACAAAGTGGATTCACCTATCATGTTATCAGAGACACCTGAATCTACTATCCAAGTATGACTGTGACTGACATTAAGAAATGTATAATTACCTTTTGTTGCTATAGAGCAAGAAGAAGTTGGAGACTCGAGGAGTTTGAACAATTTGTCTAGTTGTTCTGTAGTGAGTGGAAGCCGAGTTGAAGAAGACTGCTTCCATTGATCAAAATTAATAGCTTGAAATGCATGATCATCTTCGTTACCACGGCCACTATCGTTTCCTCTGCCACCACCGCGGTCTACGCCTGACTCAGGTGATTGTTCGTCATGATTGGTTGTGGCAGATTCAGTGTAGGCGTGTTCTAGGAAAGGCCACGTGATGTGATCTGTCATATGAGGCTAAAGGAGCATGTGAAACAGGTTGGATAAGGAAACACGATGAACAAAAGCCCAATATGGCTCTTGATACCATTAATTGTGGAAAGCTTTAGAGTATCATCCTTAACCTAGGACTCTTGATATCAAATTGAAAGATAATAGGTAAATAGTTTTATGATTTATTTCTCAACCAAAGGCTGGTTTACATAGTTAGAATACAATTAATTTTCTCCTTGAATCAAGGAGGGAATTGTTACATTGAAAAATAAAAGAACATAATAAAATTCTCTAGAATTGCCTAGAAAACAATAAAATAGAGAAATAAATATTGACGTGTTTTCTAACAGAGAGGGTACTTGTAAAAATGTTAGCACTTCAACACTCAATTTAGTATGAAGTTAAGGTGAGACTTTGCAAGTGAGTCAAATCGTACCTAGGTGTGACTCAAGGTCAAACTTATGTAAGAGAGACGATTATTATTATTCCCAAGTTGTTGGGCGTTAAGCACAAGTGACCGTTTGATAGAGATTATGCGACTCAGCACGAGAGGGAGGTGTGCTCATGTGTGGTGTTGTGTGAGGGAGGTTCACTTGTGCGTTAGTGCAATGAGCACCTTGAAGAGATTGAGCTTATGTGAATTATGTCGGCCTTGTGGGGAATTTCCTAGCCCAAAACAATTGCCTCGAAATCCTTGATGGCAGTCATGAACTGAGGATTGTCTTCATAAACATAATCGAGGTATGATTTAAAATCTCAACCATGGTGATCTCATTCATGGAGCGGAGGCTCCATGTTGAGTGGGAGTAGTTAGCATCGGGAACCTACGCATTAAATGTGTTTCGTGTTGATGAAAGGTTTTTTACAATGATAGATTCAACATATATCACGCATGTAGGGAGGAGGTTGAGTATCTTAGGCCCACTAAAGTGTAGATAATGTTTCGAGGCGAGTTCTCTTATGTAGAATGACTCACTTGATCTTCTAGTGGATTATGGTCGTTGAAGCTAATTGGTGTTTTGCATATAAAGTAGGAATGTGTGCTTCATTCACACTTTTATATTCCTTCACTTTGGGTGAAACTCTTGCTTTCTTCGTCTTCTTCATAGGAAACTCTTGTATGATTTGTCTTTTGTTAGTGAAAGCTTCTATATTCGAGTCAATGTTTTAATTGAGAATTTATTCTGTTAATTTATTTATTTAAAATTGCACTATAAGTAAGGTATTTACCTTTTTCTTCCTCTTTATTTTTTATATTTTATCTGAGTCTGAATATGGAGAATCCAATAAACCCATTTGTAGGAATCCATTTTTTGAACTTGGTGATATTTTTTCCACTACTAAACCAAAAGTTATCGATCTTGTTTCTACTGATTGGGAACTTTACCCTACTAGTATTATCATGAATCAGGTCGAGGTGAGGTTTAGCTTTGGAAATGCCAATTAGCTAACCTCGTTGTTGTTGAGAACTTGGTGAATGATCCAAAAGTGTACATGTAACACCCCCATTTTCCCATAAGAGTAATTATATCAACAAACATGGAATATATCAGATTTTACGCATGGGATGTCATGTAATTCAAAATTTCACAAATTTTCAAATCGCTTCATTACTTCATTATTTCATAATAAATAATTTGGCAACGGAAAACAAAATCGAATTAATTCACTTCCATGGCATAATGCATCAACTATAATAGAACTCCACAAACATGTGATCCAGTATAAGTATAAAAGTATAATACGTAACAAATAAAACAATATGAAAATATAACAAATTCCCAAACTCGTGTTACGTATCAGAGCGACTCTTAAGACTTGATCAGGTAACACTCTCTTCAAGCACTACTCGGGTACCTGATTATCTGTACTCCCGAATAGCACAGACACAATAACACAAAAGGGGTGAGAATTACATTCAATAAACACAAGGTGAATATCACGTGCTAAGGAATAGTAATTCGCACAAATTCACACATCACATAACACTTCACAATGCAAAACCATCATTCATATCATACAACATCAATTCAATACTAATGCAATGCAATGAGACCGACATCAACTCAATGCATGTGGTACAATCAGGGCATAAGCCCCCAACATAGTTCTAATTGGGTAACAACATGGCATAAGCCCTCAACACAACGTCATTACAGGCCAGCAATAGAGCATAAGCACTCACCAATGAAATGCATGCAACATCGACATACAACAACATAAATTATGCAACCATAAGGCATGAACCTTCAACCATGTGCCAATTCAGGCCACCAAGATCATCATCACACCACGTACATCATAGTATCCACGATTCATTATAGTGCACATATCATCCTAACTTATCTCATAGTAACCTAACTCTATCTTATTCCTAAGTATTAGAATTAACCCTTCTTTTATTCTTTTTATTCCGCATAAATGTAGTTTGTTTTTTTATTTATCCAACGCTTCGAACGGCGCATCAATCGGAGTTCTAAAACTCAAGTTATGGCATTTTTAAGAAAATTTGTACGGTCATTCGAATTTGTCATTCGTCACCCAGCAACCTCCTCCGTCGCCTAGAGATGCTACTTTTGTGTCACCCTTTGCCTGGCGACGCTAGAAGCAAGGTGTTACGGAAACTTTCATCTTTTCACCTCTTACATCACTTCCTCATTCGCCTTGCGAAAGGTACATTACCTGGCGACACATCCTTCGTCATCCGGCGATTCTGCGCGAGCAGGAATTTCCTGCATAAAAAGTCTAATTTTCACTCATTTTAGGTACTTTTGTACCCCAAAATTTTCCCTCCCATATTTCTCAAAACATTGCAAGAAAAATCTCCAAGTTGCTCAAGATTGCTCAAGAGTTGGACAGTCAAGCTATCTCCTAAAGCAGTCAACCTCAAATTAGGGTTTTGTGTTGTATCAAGGTCCTTGCATCCAAATGACCTCAAGTTCTCCCCAATGTTCTAATATGTTCTCAAGATCATCCATGTCAAATTTCAAGCCTTGCAGAGGAAGTTTGCTCAGTCAATTGCTCAAAGGGTCCAAAAATCGACTATGCTAGGGCAAAAGTCAACTGTGACCTATAAACAGTCAAAACTCAAGATTTTTTGACAACATTCTCATTTTTAAGGATATTTCATCATTTTATCAAGGGTTGATCATGATTCACCAAGGATTGCTCAAAATTCATCAAGACTCAAAAGTTGCTAAATTAGGGTTTTGCAGGAAAAGTCAACTCAACTTTGACCATGCATAACTTTATCATACTTTATGAGAAATGACCCATACAAATCTCATATTGAAGAGGATGCAATTTCCTACAATCCATCTTCATACCCCAAGATCAAGAAATGTACTCACAAAAAGTTACAAATTTGGACATTATAGGTCATTTTTTGAAAGTCAACAAAAACACCTTTTTTGCCAAAGCTTATAACTTGAGCATGGAATATCAAAATGAGATGAGACCAAAAGGGTTGGTTAGAGGACATCTCAAGCTTTCTAAAAAGTCCAAGAAAACTTCCAAAAGTTCAACATTGAAGAAGTTATTCATTGTTGAAGTTGGGCATTTTTGTAAAATTGCCAAAAGTCAACTATCCCCAAAACTTATGGGCCCATTCTTTTCCACTTGATTTGATCTTTTCACATTACACACGTGTCCTAGCTTCATCTTTGTGACCATTTACCAATTTTATTATTTAATTTGATTTTTGAATGAATTATTTCATTTTAAATCAATTTAAATCAAATAAAATCCAAACATTGATTATTTGATCTCTTTTTGGCTATTTCAGGACCTAATCATCATCATCAAGTGAATCAAATTCGTATCATACATTCCATGTGCAAAAATATTGGATTTTTGGAAAAATTGGAAAGTTGTCAATGGTGAATCAAATCAAATCTCAAGACATCAATGTGCAAAGATTCAGACCCAAAAGTTGACCTAATACATTGCAGCATACATATACAAGCTAAAGGACACGAATTCAAGGGTTAGAGGCTGCAAGAACACCAAAAGCAAAACTTGGAAAATTGGCAAAAAGTGTGAAACTGAAATCGCGCATAGAGGAAAATTCAAAGGCAAATCTCAACACCAATCCGTTGTTGGGTGTCCACTGAACCTCCTGCAATCAAAAGCAAACCCTCACACCCTCTCAATTGCGTTGTAAGTCTCTCAAAAAACTGCCCTGTATTCGAAATCGTAACCTCATGTTCTTGCATTTTTTTGACAAATCTTTGGTATATTCATGATGCTTATTCAATTTCTGGACTTTTGGCATTATTTGATTGCATTAATATGGTCTCTAACCCCATAACCGTATATCTAGGGTTTTGCATTAGATTTTAGGGTTTTCTTTTTCAGGGGAAATCAAGGTCCAAGAATGGTATAGATTTGTTCAGGAAGCCTAGACGAACATAACCATGGTCCTGGATTGGGTTTTCATGGCCTAGAATCAATATTAGGAATGACCTGTGAATTTAGCTACGGATGTAAATCGCAGGTAAATATCCAGGGTTGAACGAAGAAGATGAAGACGTGTCGCCCTCTTAGTGGATGGTTCAAATATAGCGCGCTTTTATTTTTTTCTGATCCATTAATTTGTTTTTGTTTTATTATTATTAGTTTCCAATACTATAATAAATGAAGCGTAGTGGTGCAGTGGCAAGGGCGTTGTCCAATGACTTACAGGACCTGGGTTCGAATCCCAGGTCCCCCATGTATTTACTATATTTTTTCTACAGGTTATCCAATGACATTCCAATTGCGTGGTACATTATGTGTCCTCATTCAAATGCTTGCCAGGTGGCCCCAGGCCAGATCTGGTGGTCCAGATGGGACGTGCATCATACTCCCTAGTCAAAGTGCATGCATGGAATCAGGACGGTCAACACAGGCTTGCATAATTGGGCCTTGGGAATTGCTATCAAAACCTCCAAAATCAGGCCCATATACTCCTAAACTCTTTCTAATTTCATTTTTATTTCATTTATTTGTTTAATTATTTTCATGATTAACTAACCAAT